ATTATTTTCTTATTTCGCTGTCGTAACGCCAAAGGTTTCATTCAACCCCCAACTGTAATAGAGTGTCTCTATAAATCTATACAGGGTGCTACAAATTAGAGGTACTAACATTGATATACCGTAATAGATACGAATACGGTTAAATATTGGGATGTTCACCAAGATGTTCTCAAAAAAGATTTAAAAATTTCAAAAATTGCTGAGTTTTTTGGCAAAAACGAATTTTTTTGAAAATCAATTTTATTTTTTCCTGTCTATACTTTTAAGAAAATCAAAAAACTAATTACACATTCTCATAGCCACTTTATTAGGGCTATATGATGGTATTTTAGATTTTCAAATTAGCTGATTATTTGTATTATTTTTAACTTTTTTTATTGTGAATTTGAAATCTCAGTGTACGATCTAATAATATCCATAATATTAATCGTAGTTATTATAAATAAATCAACTTTTACAAACTAGTTTCTAATGCTCTACATGTTTGAAAGGGTTACCACTTCGTTCAATTTTATTTATAGCTCTTTAATATTATCTTCTTCTTATACTTCGGAATGCATTTTTTACTTACAGTTGGGAGTTGGAACCTTTGGTGTTACGTAGCAAAAGAGAACACTAACCCACCACAATACACCAAAACACTTTTACATTTACACTGGACGCTCGTTTCGCTAACCATGTTAGCATCATCAGCAGATGATTAAAGCTGAGTGTTAATTATTTTTAATTAAAAGTAAAAGTAAAAAATAATTGTTTAATTAAAAGTAAAAATGTTTTGGGTGTATTCTGGTGATCTAGTGTTTTATTTTGCATCTTTTACTCTTTAATGTATATGCGAAAAATATTGATTTCACTTTTACAAATGACGTCAAGTAATTCCTGTAACCTCTGGAAAACTGTCTAAGACACTGGCTTTTACAAAAGCCATTTTACTCTCATAAAATGTAGCATTTTTGTAATGATTACTAGAACTTCTCTATATTTACTTATTTCACTGAAATTTCGTTCATTTCCCGAGGCAATGTTTTCGAGATATTTTTTTCTCACGGCACTTTTTCTATTTTCCACCATTTTTCCGACAACTGGTGGTTGAAAAATGCAACCAGGTGTATCTGACACGTGAAACTTACCATAAGGTCATTGTGAAAGGCGATAAAAATGCAGAAAAGTATTTAGCTTGAAGCTGGAAATTATCGAACCTTCACAATGATTCGTTTGTCGGCAATCCCAGTGAATATAAGTTAATGTGTTTTTTATATAGTCTGTCCAACGAGAAGATCCTTGACAGTGATAGATGTGTCTGTCATTTTAATTTCAAACTAGTTTATTTTATTTTACAAAGAAATAAGTTGGTACAACTGGAACGCATAGCAGGAAATTTATTTAAAATTTGACATTTGACTGACAAATGATTACTTCAAAATATTGTGAAAAAAACTGTATAAAACTGAAAAAATGTAATCGAGTTATTTTATTTAATAAAAAACGGTATGTGTTAATACAAAACAAACAAGAACAAGACACCACATACCAAAAAAATATAAAAAAGAACTATTTCTTACTTTCAAGCTTTATGAAACTTCCCGCATTTATGATTATATTTATCAATATAAATCATGTATAAATACAAATTTGTAATATTCCACAGGAATAAATAAAACAACATGAATAAAACAAACTGTTTTATTAATAATAACACTTACCTATATAATTACACTTAAAGGTTGATTAATTAACTTTAATCTTATTTTTTTTAAACCTTTACCTTTTGACATTATTTTTCTGCAGTACTAAAATCCATTATTTACCTATCGTGTGATGTCGATATTTTACAGCTACTCCAGTTTGTAGTATGTGTTGAGTATATGGTCCTTCTTCCATATTATTCGAGATGCACTTAATTATCTACGACGAGATGGTATACGAACTTTAATGATGGTAACTTTATTGGTGTATAAGACGTTCTGCCTGGACAGCGAGTATTAACCATAAACTGTGCTCTGGGTCTACAGTTAATTTTCACTCGATTTTTCCTCCACTTGACTTCAAAAGACACAAAACACACGTAATAACACGAATCAAAATGCATCATCTTCCAAAACGCAGGGTATTTGACAAAAGTTGACACAAAATTATAACCTATAATTTGGCAAGACTTTGACAAGCGTCAAACATCTACAGGCGAGTTCATACGCATCGGCGTCCGTTTGTCGTTCATCATTCCGTCAAACCAATAAAATTGAAATACGATCTGTCATTTTTGAAATAAACCAATAAAACTGTTTAAAAACAACAAGAGGCGACGTATGACGGATTTATATTTAAACCAATCCATAATTAACTTAAATATTATCAGAAACTTTTTTTAGTAAAATAAATAGATTGGTATGGGACGTCATCTGCTTTTCTTCTGTCATCGTCTGTCGAAATCTTACCTGAGAAGAAAAAAAACAGAGCTCATGAATAAAATAGGGTGAGTGGAGATAGCAGGTTTTGCTTCTAGACTCCTCAAATAATTTTCAAATACCGTACATAATATACAGGGTGTGCCACAATTAATGCGACAAACTGAAAGGGGTTGTAGAAGGCATCAAAACAAGTCATTTGGGTATAGGAACCCATGTCCGGAAATGTGCCGTTTTGGCAGGAGGTGGAGTGAAACGTAAATTTCAAGTTGCATTATTTACTCAAAACATTTACAAAAACTGCTCAAAGTGCCGTCCAGGCATGTGCATTTGTGTCTTCAACAGAATATATACTTTGGAATACTGCAAAGCTATATTACCTCAGGATATGCATTTTTTGAATAATAATTATTCAAAAAATGTTATTTAATTATTAAATAACTCAAATATGGCCAATTTTGGCCCAGCAATTATGTAATATCGAATAATAGTGCTTATTTACTAGATTCTCTCAGTGCCTACTTATCCAGAAATAATCTCTGATCTCTCTAATCTTGTCGATTTCAATTCGACCTCGTTATATCTAATCAAAAAGCATTTCTTCAGACCAAATTATATGGTCTTTTGTCCAATTGCTCTGCCAGTTTTTTTCCATATTCTCTCACATTGCGTTTCTCTATTTCTTCATCGTTTGCTCTGTCTCTGTGTTAAACTATAGAGCATATAAAGTAGACACGTATTTTTGCATTTTTGCTTGGAAATCAAGTGAAGCCTAAAACAGATAACAGATGACTATTTATTGGAAAATAAATTATACCCTGTTGGTCATCCAAACTATGTAGTCTGGATTTTAATGTGCGTGACAGAGAATAATATAAATGACCGGTTGACACACAGAGAAACAAAATCCAAAGCGGCATACAGTGTTGAAGGTTTTTTAGGTTTGTAGGAAAAAGTGTGTAGAAAAATATTAGCTAAAGGGAAATTAAAACAACTTTTGTTGCACGTCATCAATGACACCATGCGTCGTCTTATGGAGTTTGCTGGTGGTCGTATTATGATGTGCAACCAAAGTTATTTTAATTTCCCTATATTTTAAAAACTTTCATGTATACTACTGAAATGAAGATAATATATCTAAGCTAAATATAATTTATTACAGCTGTAGTAAATGAGTAACTAATAGTAAAAAATAAAGTTACAACCCTAGATGCAAGATTTTTCGTAAACGCCTACTTGTGCGGTTTGAAATTTTTAGTAAAATAGAAAAAGTAAAATATCTCTATTATTTTGGATTTATTTGAAAAAAACGGTAAAGAGAAAATATGTTTCTTTTATCGAGATCTACCAGAAAATATTTCCACTTATTTAAATGTTGTCTACAAGATATCGATATAGAAAAATATAATACACTATTATACAGGGTGTCCCAGATTTTAATCGGAAGAATTTAATAGACGATAGAACTTGCAAAAATAAAACAACAAGTTTATATCAACTTGTAAGATTCAAGCTTCCTTTTCGAGATACAAGCTGTTAAAGTTACTTAAAAAAAATTAATATATTTGAAAAACTATTTAATCGATTGTGATATAAATTGACCCGTTTATAATACTTACTATGGGACTTAATTTGATGTAATTAGATTTAAGTTTAATGGTCAGTGGCGGCGGTGGGGCATCACTGTTAAATTATTTTAAAGGAAAAAATAGGCACGGCACTGCTTTTTTAGAAGTGTAATATTATTTTTAAAAATATTATTTTTTTGTCTCCTGACTTTTTTGTCTATCTTGCTTACTTCTTGCGAAAAAAAATAAATTCTAACTGGTAATTAATATTATAATTAGTATTCTAATGGTACCCTGTATCTCGAAAAGGAAGCTTTAAATCTTACAAGTTGACATGAACGTTTTATTTTATTTTTGTAAGTTCTATCGTCTATCAAATATTCCCGATTAAAATCTGAGACACCCTATGAAAAAGAAGTGTCTAGGTCTTCTATGATCTAATTTCTCTCATTTGAGTGGTTCTGGTCCCCGACCTGAGCCAACTCGACTTAGACTCTACGAGGTCTTATCTTAGCCCTTTTATTTTTTATCCCCCACAGGGGGTTGTTACGTAGAGACGCCAGCCTTGTTCCATGGGGCAAAGAAAAGGTTAATTTAGTTTATTTTTGCGTTGTTTAATTCTACTTATTCTGTAGTATTAACTACGTTTTTCTCTTAATTAAGAAGTAATTGTTATACAGTTTACATTAGATTTACTGCTGGTTTGAAGTTTTAGTTAAAAAAATAGAAATTGTTTATTATAAAATTACACTAAATAAAATTTAATTTTTCGTTCGAAAACAGACAGCCAGATTTCTAATTTCTTAATAATTTCATACTAATCGTTTAATTTACAAAATATAAGTAAAAATTGGCTCTAATTTACTGCTAATGACAGCTTTTGATATACACGTGTATAGTAAAATTATATTTTTCGCGAAAAATTTCGTAATAAATCAAGTTTCAAGAAGAAAATAATTAAAAAATGTAGTATTATAGCTTAAGAGCTCTTAAAGGTATCAGAAGATTAATATTAATACACATTTAATTGTTTATGTACGAAAATTAATTTATTTGAAATAATTTATTTACATTATCCATCAAGTTTTTTTCTCTATTAAATCATCTAATATATCCAAAAATTTACTAAAAGGCAAGGTCCAACTGAAATTCTGCACTATTTTTCTTTAACCGGTCCATCAACGTAGCTTTTCCAAACTTAGACTACAACAGCGGCAGGGGCGGCGTAGGCGGAGTAAGCCAAGGGAGCGGCGGCAGCGTATCCGCTGTAGAGGGATGGTGAAGCGTACGCCACTGGTGCGCTGTACGATGCGCTGTAAGCCAGAGGTGCGCTGTAAGCCAAAGGTGCGCTGTAAGCTAGGGGTGCGCTGTAAGCTGCCACGACCGAAGGTTTGGCTTCGGGTTTGGGGGCGGCGAAAGCTACGGCCAAGATGGCGGCGAAGACAACAGCGAACTGAAATTGAAAGATTTTTGATAAATAAATATGATAAACTAGTTGAAGCCTGGCGCAAACGCCACAACATCAGGAAAAAAAATACTTTTTATTTTTTTTTAATTAAATAAAAAACAACACAGATGACAGTTTTTAGAAGAGCCAATTAGCTATCTTTTAGTAAAAAAGCAACTTTCTAGAGCAAGTTGTTACTTCAGTAGAGACGACACAGATAAACATTAGCATTTCATATATGTAGATTATTTCAAGAAATTATAAAAAAATAGTTTGCATATAAGATTATTTGTATTAACGATGCCAGACATTTTAAAGACAAATTCTCTGTTTTTCAAAATCGTATTTTTTTACTGATCTTACAGGATGTTAATTTTAAATAAAGAAAAGACGAAGAAGTTATATTATTTAAGTCAAAAAATTCCTACAAAATCGAACCAGAAATTTTAAATATTAGCAATCTCACTTTAAAGGCGCTATCAAATGTAAGGTCTCTGTTTAGACAAAAATGTTTCTTGGGCTTGTCATATAAATTTCATAATAACAAACATTTCACAGTCAACTTTCATAGCCTACTGGTTAAAAAAAATACATATATTTGCAAACTTTGAGATGATATATCATGCAATTATTACACATTAGATACAGTATAATATTCTATTGTAGTTTGGTGATATTGACAGATTGTTTATATGTCAAAAAAATGCACTTTGCGTTATGCTAAATCTTAAAATAAACGAATCTTACAGAGGTAAATTTTGCAATAATAATCTATTAACAGTTCCAGCTATTTTTGCTCAGGGAATGAATGATTTTCACTATTTTTTTGAAAAAAAAAATGTTTAATCTAGCTAAACCTCAAGAAATATACCCAACAGAAGTATAAATTATAATTACCCTGTATATATAATTAACTTTAATTAATAATTTATAATTAACTAATATAATAATTTACTTTTAGAAATAATTAACATTACACAGTTGTCAAAATTCAAAAAAGCATTATTTAAGTTCTTAGTAAAACTTCAGCTATACAGGGTGAGACTTAAATAAGTGCATAAATAAGTTAAATAAGTAAATATTTTCAAGGCTGGTAGATCTTGATGAAAGAAACATTTTTTCTCTTTACCGTTATTTTCTTTTTAGAGTTTTTTTACTTTGAAATTTTTCAAAAAAATGATTGTTCAAATTTTGAAAAACACTAGATCTTTTCTGGGTTTTCTTTCTTGTAAATTTAATCTACTACGTATGTATATGTTGCCATATTATCAAGAAATTGTTTTTTTTAACTAAATCAAAAGAAATTTCCAAAAAAAATAAAAAAAAGTACAAATTTTCTTTTTGCAAAAAAAAAACTTCATATGCTTGTTTCTGGGGCTGAAATATTATACTACCCGTAAAAATATTTGCACTTATTTAAGACTCACCCTGTATAATTTAAATTATTTTTTTGAGTATAATCGAATTATTTAGAATGTGTAGTAGTAATTAAAATTGAAGTTATAATATTTAGCAGGAACTTTAAAAGAAACAAAATATTATCTTTCAGTGTAACTTTAAAGAATTTAAAGAAGATTAAGTAAAATTGAAAGTGAAATGCTTTTTCGTTGCCTTTTGTGACGCCGTGTTTATTAGGACTAAAAATTATATATGTTATGTGTATTTATTATTTATTAGGACTAAAAATGATACTTTTTGTGACGAGGCTGTACGTTTAACGTTACAGAGGAGGTCCAAAAAGTACATTATTACTCCGAAGAGAACATGCTATTTTTTTCAAATGTCACAAATAATGTTTTAAACAACACATCGCAAATAATAGAAAAAGCAATACCTTGTAATTAATTATGTATAGATCACTTAATGTCAGTTTAATAATATATTTTTTACTTTTGTACTTAGTGTGTGCTTAAGTGTATTAGTTTTATGCCCTTTTAAAATTGTTAGTCACGACGCAAAAATTAATACTTTTATGACGTTAGAAAAAAAAGTCATTTGTACTAATAACAAGAATAGATCAGAAACGATAATAAGAATAGAAGAGAAATAATAAGAATTAGAAAAGAATAAATAAAATAAAACGAATAAAACAACAAAATAAAGTGTTATACTTACGAATTTGAACATTTTGGTTTGTTTGGTTTGATGTATTTGATGCGTAACGATCAAATGATACCATTAAATCACAAAACTGGCTCTTTTATACTAGTACTTCGTTAAAAAAATAGACACCCCACTCGATGGCAATCGAGTTCTTCGCCGAGGTTGAAGCTACCGGTCGACATTTCGACAAAACCGAAGAAGAAATTGGGTGGAGCGAACCTTGACTTTGACGTCCGCAGCAGGCCTTTTAAAGTTGCAAAAACAAAACAAGACGATGGTAAATTAGATAGGCTTAAAACGGTTGCACGCTACATGCCGGAATGTTGTTAATATTTCTTTGTTTGGGTCTTCTTGTCACGAGACACAAAACATGAGACAAAAATAATAATTAAAATAAAATTAATATACCTTTTTTCCATAGGAACTGTTAAAATTGCCTTATATCTATCAAAAATAGTAGATAAAATAGTACTTAAACCGCAAGGGTAGATTAAATAATACTCTTTAACAGCGAGGATAGATTAAAAACTTTATTTCTTCTCGCGCGTTTTTTAATTGCTTTCATTTTTGAAAATGTTTGTATTCCTGTTCGTAAGTTATTCGGGATTTAAATGGAAGTAGTTTGGATATGGCGTTTGTTGCCTCAGCCTGAATATCTGTTGGTAATTTACTTGTTTCGTTTTGAGCCATTTCTGGCTCCAATTCAATCAGCAATCGACACGAAAGAGAATTAAAAAATATTGACTCAAAACTGACAACTAAAGAGACAGCTTTATTTATTTGTCAAATTACATAGAAAGCAACGCCAACCCAGCACAATATTTTTTCTACTCGTAATAAATTCCTTGAAATAATAATTTCTGAATATTTTTTAAAATGTAACTCGCTATAGAAAAAAATATTGTTTTATACACGACGATAAAATTGCATTATCGTCTCCCGAAATCAAGTCTTTTCGGTGGACGATAAAATACCATTTTATCGTCTTGTATAAAAAATAACTATTGTGGGCAAGTTCATTTCTTCCATTTAAAAAAAGCGTTTTTTGTAAATCTAAGATTTGTCAGCATTCATGGGATAGTAGGGTATAGAGTAGATTTTACCAACGCAAAAAATACGATGAAAGAATCGATAGCCTCTAAAAGAAAAATAAAAGAGGTTTTTTAATCCAAATTATTATTTATATTTTTAATATCAATCATTTCTTCTAGGCAGAAGGTTTTATTTAATACGTTTTAACTGAACAGGTAAGACTAACAGGTATATCGTTGTGTGTAGAGGCTACTTTAAAATCAATTAGATTTATTTAGTTCTTTGGTATAGTCCAGGAGGCAGTGAAGATTTCCGCTACTTATTTTCCCAGTCAGCAAACACCGATAGAATTGATGACCTCAAAACAGAAAAAATACTACTCGGCAAGGGCGTGAGACAAGGAGATACCATCTCTCCCAAGTTATTTACACTGGCACTGGAAAATGTCTTCAAGAAATTAGAATGGGAAAATAGAGGTCTAAACATCGATGGGGTACACCTTAACCATCTGAGGTTCGCAGACGATATTGTCTTGCTGAGCACCGACATTCAAGAACTAAACACCATGCTAAATGAGACAAAAATAATAATTATCATTCAATTTTATGATGTCTCATGAAAATTGGCCTTAAAATGAACTTGAAGAAGACCAAGATAATGAGCAACAATATCCATAACATTACCGTGGACAACGTTATTATTGAAAACGTAGACCATTATATATATTTAGGTCATAAAATCAAGCTGGGCAAGGAAAACCAAAATCCGGAGATCAAACGCAGGATCCATTTGGCATGGGTAGCATTTGGAAATATGAGCGATATTTTCAAGGATAAAAGGTGCCCATGAACCTAAAGAAAAAGGCTTACGACAGCTGCATTCTACCTGTGCTTACGTATGGCTTAGAGACTATGGCAATTACTCGAAAACAGCAGAACAACTACGAGTAGCACAAAGAGCCATGGAAAGAATCATGTTGGGAGTCACCATTAGGGAAAAAATACGGAGTACCCACATACGTCAAAAACAAAATTAATAGATGTCGTTAAAAGAGTGGCAAGTCTGAAGTGGCAATGGATAGGACATGTGGCAAGACAGGATCCAGACCGATGGCCCCAAAAAGTAATCCTATGGAGACCTAGGGGAACAACAAGAAGTGTGGGCCGACCAAAAAAGAGATGGGTCGATGACGTCAGGGCAGTGGCGGGAAGACAATGGATAAGATTGGCTAGAGATCGCGAAGCATGGAAAAACCTAGAAGATGCCTATATCCAACACTGGATGGAACCAGGCTGAGAAAGAAGAAAGAAGAATGTATCGTTTGTGTCCGGGAAGGGTTCATAGTTACATAGTTGTCGATTTTCGAAAGAAATCAGTACATGTATATAATTTCGTATTTTCATTTTATTGATTTTGTGGAAAGCACTGTTCATTAAAATGTTGTATCCTATGTTATAGGGCTTGTTTCTCTCTACAATTTCCTGTCTCACGATGTACCGTTTGTGTCCAGGAAAGGATCATAGTTACATAGTTGTCGATTTTCGAAAGAAATCAGTACATGTATATCATTTCGTATATTTTTCATTTTATTGATTTTATGGAAAGCACTGTTTATTAAAATGTTGTATCCTATGTTATAGGGCTTGTTTCTCTCTACAATTTTCTGTCTCACAATGTACCGTTTGTGTCCAGGAAGGGTTCATATTTTCATAGATGTCGATTTTCGAAAGAAATCAGTACATGTATATCATTTCGTATATTTTTCATTTTATTGATTTTATGGAAAGCACTGTTCATTAAAATGTTGTATTCTATGTTATAGGGCTTGTTTCTCTCTACAATTTCCTGTCTCACAATGTACCGTTTGTGTCCAGGAAAGGATCATAGTTACATAGTTGTCGATTTTCGAAAGAAATCAGTACATGTATATCATTTCGTATATTTTTCATTTTATTGATTTTATGGAAAGCACTGTTCATTAAAATGTTGTATCATATGTTATAGGGTTTGTTTCTCTCTACAATTTCCTGTCTCACAATGTACCGTTTGTGTCCAGGAAGGAATCATAGTTTTATAGTTATCGATTTTCGACATTAACTTTAATTTTATTAAATCAACACTGTTTTAGTTAATAAGAAGACACATCTTCACTAATTATTAAAAAAGAAAATGGTGACTTTATTAAACTACTTTTTTTATTACTTCCTTATTATGACTAAGATCGTCTAAACAAGACGTTAATAAAGTTCTTTTTCAAATAAATCTTTTCTGAGGATCAAACAGTAGGTAGTAGCATAAAACATAAAAGATCCTTAGATCTAGTTCGATCAAAGTTTTTAGTGACCATGGAGGATTTTTAAATATTTATGTTTTTTTAATTATTATGAATATCAATAATTGACTAGGAAATATATATTCAAATGCTTCAATAACTATTAGCATATTTAATTGATTTATTTAGTATTATTTTATGTCATGATCTGGTTAATATTGAATAATAAATCAGTTATTATATGCTAATAAATCATATTTCTAAGGATTTTGGAAAATTTAAATATTATTTTATCCGTAAGTTTTAAAAAGAAGTGTCACCCCAAACTTAAACCAAACCGATTAACTCCGTGCCTTTATACAGGGTGTTCCAGAAATAAGTGTAAGTATCTTATGGGGTGGTAGATCTCGATAAAAGAAACATATTTTCTCTTTATCATTTTTCAAATAAGTCCAAAATAACGGAGTTATTTTACTTTGAAAATTGGCTGTACTTAAACTGCCGTTAAACGGTAGCCTACTGAAATGCCGTTAATAGGTATGACGTCGGTGATGTGACGCACTTGACGGCTTTTTAATGCTTTGGTTAAAATGCCGTCGAACGGTCGCGTACTAAAATGCCGTTAATCGTTAATGCAGAGTAGGCTACTGATTAATACTTAATAATTTGTAATGTAATGTTGTCCAAAATCCGTCATGGCTTATTCTGAATAAAATTAACTTGGAACGGTGTATATGTAGGTAGACGTATATGTTGCCGTTGTAGGTTTGAAAATGTATTTGCGATAAAATGTAATATATGGCATTGGTTTTCAGGTTTTTATTGCAAATTATAAACTGACAACTTAAAAATAATACTACGTCAACTTAAAAATAATAATGCTACAGATAGCATTCTATGCAAAACCACAGTTTTGATTTAGGTCGCTTAGTCAATCCTGCACAACGGATATGTCTTCATAGAAGGCATCTACTGCAACAAAGTGACATATGATTTTTCTGCGTGTCTTCACTGCACACAGAACAAAACCAACTTTGTTGAAGTCGTTTCTGCTCAACTAGATTGGTTATTTTTTCAAAGGCTTTTTCGGTGCAAAAACTTCTAAAAATCGTAATTTACATTATTAGTTATTAATTTGGTAATTATTAGGTATTGCTAGACTTACCTTATCATGTGGATATCAACAGCCTCATCAAGAACGGCATGTGATATTTCTTCGGGGAGCATTTTAAGGTCTACAGTTTCAAGAAATTTCCCATTTGTGATGTCTCTAACGATGTTACGATCCTTAACGAAGCAATTCAGGATTACATTTTGTTTTTCATGATAGGATTGTTTAGCAAATGCTACAGTACATCTTTTCTTTTTCTTTGGTAGTCCTATGACTGTTAAGTCCTGTCCTTTTGGACGTCCTTTATGAGAAAAACAGGTAATCCTATTTTAAGTAATTTATATGTAGCATCTACTGCAAGAAATTCTGGAAAAGCCTTCATTGTACTTTTCATGGTTTGACTTTGAATGAAAAGTCCTCTGAAATTATTGTCTTCGTCTCGCAAAACAGCTACATTGGCACCTGAAAACAGAGTAGTTATTGGGACTAATAAGACGATAATAGAATATTTTAGTTTACCATATTTAGGTTTAAGTATATTTAAGCAGCCATCTAAGTTTTCTTTTCTTGATTGATCGGATATCTTCATATTTGTTAAATCTTGTAAAGTAACAATTTTACCAGTACTTTCTTGAACTTTTTGCTGTATCATTTTTCTATTGGCCTTCATATTCAAATAATCCTTGACACTTTCCTTCATGTTACTGGAAAGTTTTCTTTGGCTAGGGTTATGCGCATGTAGAACCTGCAAAATATATCTTTTATGAATAAAATACTGTTCAAGCAAGAATTTTAAAAGCATACTATCTGTCAACTAATTTGTAAACTTACCTTCGAAGTGACATGATTGTGCTTCATTTGAACCGATGTTACCTCGGGTGCTTTTCCATCAGACGATGCTTTGAATCTTATATGTACTGGGCAATCTTCTTTAAATGTCCAAGACTGTCGAATTTTTTTCCCACCGCCCTTAAACTTCTTTCCACCGTGATTACATGCATATAGAAGTTGATAATAAATCAAAGAGCTTTCTACTGGTCTCACAATTGTACTGCTTGCAATCGTACGGGCATCTCGTTTCCAAAATGTTGTGTACGTATTTTCACCAAGCTCCTCAATCGCTTTCTTTGCGTCAGCGAATGAGCTGAACCTATCCCCAATTTTCAGCATGCTAATTTCAGTCATGAAAAATAATTAGGTACTTAACTAACCTAAAAATATTTATAGATAAATTAACAACCAGAAAACTAACTGAAACACTTACTCGATCCTGAACCGATAATAGCCAGATGTACACCTTAATTAAAATCAACTTATAGCACTTAGGACAAATTTTTACTACAATAATAATGCAAATGCGACGAAAAAACATACCAAAAGGGCAACTGAAAACGGAACACGAATTGATTAACGGCATTTTAGTACGCGACCGTTCGACGGCATTTTAACCAAAGCATTAAAAAGCCGTCAAGTGCGTCACATCAACGACGTCATATCTATTAACGGCATTTCAGTAGGCTACCGTTTAACGGCAGTTTAAGTACAGCGTTGAAAATTTCCAAAAAAAATGATGTTTTGTTAAAATTTTGGAACCATTGGATTTTTCTTTCTTGTAAATTCAATCTAATACCTATGTTGCCATATTATCAAGAAATTATGTTTTTTAACTAAAAACTAAAAAAAATCCAAAAGAATTTGGAATTTAAAAAAAAATTTCGCGAAAAAAAACTCATAGGCGTGTTTCTGGGGTTGAACTATATTACCAGTTTAAATACTTGCACTTATTTCTATTACACCCTGTATATATTCTTGATAAAAATAAAAGACTTTTCAACAACAAATAAAATCGAATCATTTTCTGAGGGTCTAGCTACATCGGTTCCCTGCTGTCACTGAAATTAAGTGATGAAATGAACTATAAACAATGCTAACTCCCTGAAACCTGTAAAGTAATGCAAAATCTTAACAGCCTTCAAAGAGTCTTGAAAGCATGTACAAATACGCTTTGTGGGTGCTGTTATACCACTAATACAGTATAAAATTATTTAAATAAAAAATAACAACAAGATATCGCTTTATTTATAAGCCTACACCGAATTGTTCATGAAAAACACAGAAATGAATGAAAAAATAAACCGGTTGTGAACCAGATACGTTACGATTTTCCGTTTTAAGTCATATCCTGGTCCACAATGAGCCAAGAAGCTTGTTCGTTGGTATTTGAGATAAACCCGACTGGTTGACATCTGCTAATTTATCAAATGAATCGGCGACATGATTAAACGTTTACTATATTTGAATAACCAAAAAGACAACTGTTATATCCCAACATTAATTAATAATAGAATGAACTCTTTGTATATATTTTAGTACTTTGTTTGATATATTTCATTCATAGTATCATACTACAAGAACTAGTTATATTTCTGTATTATAAATACATAGTATATTATACAGGGCATACAGGGTCCGGCAATAGTGCGTCGGGCACAAGCTCCTAGATTAAAAAACTTGGGAATTTTGTTTAAGTGTAAACCTAAAGTATGTATAAGGATGTATTTCAGGGAAATATTTTAACTTCTATAGGGTGGTTCAAAAAAGTATGAGTGGATCGGGATGATTTTTTTAGATGGAACACACTTCCAAGAATTATTGTATAATTTTTACATTTTACATTTTAATCATATGTATACGAATTTGCGCTAAACTACTGAAAAGAAAGGGCAAGCAAGTGTGGCATAAACACACCGGAAAAGTCTAGGGATATTACAATTTTATCCAGCCATTGTCAGTAATTTTATTATTTGCATTTCTGATATAATAAAATTAAAATAAACAAATAGTTTACAGGACGTATCGGAAATAAAAATGCGAAATTTACCGAATTTTTCAAATTTACCTTGATTTTTATTGAACTCAAAAAAATACACACATTTTTTTTATTCTAAACTGTGAATTAAAAAAAATAAGATAAAACCATTTTTACTTAATAAAGGGTATGGCCTCCTCTACTGTTCATTACAGCCCTACATCGTCTCTCCATGCTCCTGATCAGGTTGTCGATCTCTTCTTGAGGCCTGCCACGCTGCATTCACGGCTCTAACCAGATCCCTACGAGTTTCACGAGGCATACCCATTCTCAAAATTCTTCTTTGGACCGCGTCCCATACGTGCTCGATGGGGTTGCGGTCAGGAGATTGTGCCGGCCAGGGTAAGATGTTTAATTGATGAGCATTGATAAACTCACTTACCACTCTGGCTGTATGAGGCCGTGCATTGTCATGCATGAGAATGAAGTTTCTCCCAAAATCATTGGCATATGGTAACACGACAGGCTCAAGAATTAAATCACCATATGTGATTCCTGTGAGAAACCTTTCAAGAAAAACGAGATCGGTTTTTCGGCCTAACTGGACTCCTCCCCAGACCATAACTGTTCCACCTTGATAAGGGTGCACTTCCTGAACATGATCCAACCGAATAAGATTTCCCGGTTCTTTCCATACCCTAAGCCTTCTCGAATCCGGATGAATTCCAAAGCGTGACTCATCCGTGAAGAGAACATTGGCCCATTGTTCATTCGACCACTGAACATGATCTTGAGCCCACAAATATCGTACCTCTCGATTTCCTCTCGTTAAGGGTTGAGCTCTCCAGGGGCATCTGCTTCTTAAGTTGACTTCTCTTAATCTATTGCGGACAGTGTCAGGACTAACGGTTACATTATGTGTTGCCTGGAGAATTAAACTAAGCTCTGGTGCTGTAAGAGTCGGTCGGCGTCGAGCATTTAATTGTAAAAAATGATCTTGCTGAGGGGTAGTAATGCGATATGGCCCTGTGTGCCTTTCAGCAACATCACCACTTTCACGGTAGCGTGCACTTAATCGCGATATTACACTTTGCGTTTTATTTAATGCTCTAGCTACGTCGATTTGGCGCATTCCAGCTTCGAGCATACCCATGGCCCTTAGAATTTCGTCTCTGTTAAGATGTCTGCGCTCCATAATGTCGTTTAATACTAAACAGAGTTATTTGAATGAATTCTGACCAGTTATCATAAAAACATAGCCAGTACAGGTTAAATTCGAACAATTGATGCTAGGTGCTTTTTATACATTTGACAAAAAATGCACAAACACTTCTGCAAATATCCCAAATTTAGAAATAACTAGTGTGACTACTTCGTTTCAATCGGAGTAGAAAGAATCGGCCTACAAATATGTGGTTGTTTATTCAAAACATTTATTTTTAACTTTAATAAAATGATATCCCTAGATTTTTCCGGTGTGTTTATTTTCGTCATCAGAAAAATAAAGTCTTTTTAAATATTTCTCTGATATATAGGGTGTACCATTTAAATAAAAGTAAGTTGTGTCAATAACTTTGACATTTGACAGTTTATACAAGTTTTGACTCAACGGCATAAAACTTAACGAAAATCTCTACAATTTATTTTTTCACTCGACCTTTTAACTCAAAAAATAAATAGTTTACGACCTTTCAAAAGCGGGAGAAATTAAAATGAAAGCACTGTACAGACTGTCGACTGTCCATTTTTTTCACAAACCTTAGCTACTCCCTTTAAAACAAAAGATGATATAAGTAAACAAAATTATCATGGCATTCTTAGTTTCCATGGTGACATTCTTAGGTTCGCCAGGTTAATTTTGAAAATTTTACAATTTCAATCCAATCCTTCCATCCAAAGTGTCAACAAATTAATTACTCGTTTTCAAGCACTCTGTCTATTAATTTCTCTGACATCATCACTGAAACAAAACGCTTTACATCATAATAATAATAAAAATAAAAATAGAAGACACAAGACGAAAACAAAAACACGGGCTGAGCTGTCAATATTTTGTTTAATGTTTTGGAATTCCATGTAAATAAAATCTACATAAACATTGATGAAACAAAATAGTGCCATTTAGGAATTCTGTTATTATAGACTAAAATTAATTTGCATATGTATTGGTTTATTTAAAATAGGATGTCACTATTAAAATCTCGGATTTTTAAGCTTGTCTATGGCTAAAAACATTTCCTTAGGTTAGTTACACCAATTTCAAAACCGGCTTAGGTTAACGAATGATTTTAACAGTTTTTTTTGCATCTTTGGGAAAATTTGAATAGTGAACTAATACCACCAAATATTTTAATGTTATTAATGTTATGATTTTACATCGACTTGGTGTTAGTATTAGAAAAATATTTAATCAATCAATATTATGATATACAGACCGGACCACCGTAGTAGTAACATAGGCAGAACCGGACGAATTAGCGTATACCCGTTGGGGTGTAATCGTAAACTTCAGTGACATATTCTGCAGATAAAAATATCTAAAAAAGTTCGTATAAATATATGTCCTAAAATGCTTAGTTTCGGAGATACAGGGTGTAGAAGTTTCAATTTTATTTCTATTTTTTCCAAATTATTTCTGAAGTAATGTCAATATTTGGATGAAAATTGGTGTCTGGGGGTTTTTTGACATGAGAAATTTGATTTTTATGTCAATATGACTCCTACTTGTAGGGGGCGCCACCTACATATTTTTAACTGGTTTGAAGAGTAATAACTTTTCGTCCGTACCTGTATAAAACTATTAAGTAAAAACATTTACATTTACGGCGTTTTTTACGTAAAAAAGGTCTTTTGGTAAAAATCTCTACGAGTAATAGTTCTCGAGATACTTGGAATCGAAATTATCAATACCTATTATCATTGACATAAATTAAACATGTCAACTAAATAGTTAGACTAAAATCATAAATTTGAAATGTTTTTGTGCCAAAAGTTCAACAGAAATTGTTTTATCATCATTTTTTTCGCAGAAAAATTATGATTAATTTAAAAAAATAAAAATTTCCCAAATTTATTATTTCAGTGAAATAACTATCTACTCAAAGTGTTTATTTTTTGTCAATAATGGCATGTATTGACTATTTCCATTCTAAATATCTTGGGAACGGTTGCTCGTAGCGATTTTTACCAAGAGATATTTTTTACGTAAAAAGTCACGGAAATGTATATTTTATCACTCAGTAGTTTTATACAGGTACGGACAAAAAGTTATTACTCTTCAAAACAGTTAAAACCCATGTAGGTGGCGCCCCCTACAAATAGGAGTCATATTGACATCAAAATTAAATTTCTCATGTGAAAAAACCCCCTGATACCAATTTTCATCCAAATATTGACGTTACTTCAGAAATTATTTGGAAAAAATCGAAATAAAAACGAAACTTCTACACCCTGTATCTCCGGAACTAAGCATTTTCGGACATACATTTATACGAACTTTTTTACCTATTTTTATCTACAGAATATGCTGCCGAATCTTCACTAATTATTTTGAATGACTCCTTCAAGATGCTCATTGTAAGTGGCAAATATAAATGGGCTTTTTCTTTTTTCATGTAGTTACAAATTATTTGCAAACATCTAATTGAAAATAAAAACAAACTAAATATGCTAAAAATGTCTTTTATTTTTGAACTTTGAGAAGAAAAATCACAATAAAAGAATCCAAAATCGTTCACTCCATAATCATTTCATCCGTTTCCTTAAGCCGAAGTCATCATCACCATTCACAATCATCCTACTCGCTCCATATTTACAAGTAGTAGTAAGGAGAAGCGTAGGCGGAGTAGGCTGGGTAAGCGCTGTAGGCGCTGTAAGCGTAGGGAGAAGCGGCAGCAACGTAGGGAGCGCTGTAAGCTACTGGGGCGGAGACCAGGGGTGCGCTGTAAGCTACTGGGGCTGCAAGGTAGCCTGGTTTGGCCTTGGGGTCGGCTTTGGGGTCGGCATTGGCTTCAGGGGTGGGTACGGCGAAAGCGACGGCCAAGATGGCGGCGAATACGAACTGAAAAGTTAGGTTAATTAGTTTATTTCGTCAATATAATCAGAGTCACCGAGTAAAATATATATTTTGGTCTTTTTTTATTGTTGTATAAATAGTGATAAATACTAGTGAAACAATTAAAAAGTCCCAAGAAACTAAAAACTAGCTTTTGTTCTTGAAGCTATGCCTTATATTATAGAGAGATATTAAGTTTATGCTATGTTTTATTAATTGTGTATGTTGTAATAAATGACATAAAAAATTACTTCTTAATTTTTTGCGAAAAAAAACATTTTCAAAAATGCCAAAGGATAATGAAAAGTGTACCCTTATATGTCAAAATTAGTAAGAAATGAGTTATTGTAAGTGAAATAAATCTCTTTCACTGAAAAAACGGCCCAGAACATTTTTAAACGAAACATAGGTTTGCGCAAATTTTGTACAAAAGTCTAAACCACCCTTAACAAAGTAATTTGGAAGTTTATCTCTTTAAAATTTCTGATAAAAAGTAATAATTATAATATGATTTAATCAATTTTTCCACAAGAATATTAAAAAAAACACCGAACAACAAAAATTCAGATAGTAGACAAAAAACAAAAAAATAATAAAAAAAGAAGTCAACGAACAAAAGTACTTTAAACTAAAACTGGATGCTTAATATTGTGGTAAACCTAATATCAATAAGAATCTCCTTATACAGGGTGAGTCTTAAATATGTAAGTGCAAATATTTTTAGGGATGGTAGATTTCGATAATAGAAACATATTTTCTCTTTACCGAAATTAAAAAAAGATGATTTTTTGGTTAAATTTTCAGAACCACTGGATTTTTTCTAGGTTTTCTTTCTTGTAAATTTAATCTACTACATGTTGTCATATTATCAAGAAATTATGTTTTTTAACTAAAAACTAAAAAAAAAATTCAAAAACTTTTTCAAAAATTTCCAAATTTTCCAAAAAAAAATCTCGAAAAAAACTTATAGCCGTGCTTCTGGTGTTGAAAAATACTACCTCTAAAAATATTTGCACTTATTTAAGACTCACCCTGTATATGAAGTTCTAAAATTGAAATTTTAAAATAATATGTCTAATAGTAATAATGCAATAAAAAACACTTAGACACAAGAACTAAAATCTATTTAAAATTCTATAAAAATTGAGGTTATTTATTTTAAGAATTTGTAAAAAACTGTTATTTATAAAATATTACTATAAAATTGATAGTTATTAATTAAAAATTAAAATTAATATTTTTCTAAAATTAAAAATTTCAAAAAATGACAACAGAACATAAACAAAGAACGAGTAAAGTATTTGAGAGGTTAATTTAATGTTTTTATATTTTAAACATTTCTTGGTAAAAATTGACATTTATAAGAGCCTAATATAAAACACAAAAATCTAATAGAAATATTAAAATAATGGAAGACAGTAAAAATACAAAAAAAAATATTTTTTTAAAATTTGTTAAATTTTTATGTTTTATATTTTAAGAAAAAAATATTTTTAACTAATACTCACAAGTTTGTACATTTTGGTTGTTTGTTGTGGTTGTGTTGACTAGTTTGATAAAACTGATAATGTCTTTGGCAGCAAATTCGTTATTTATACAAAAATCGTACCGGTACTCGTCCGTCTATAACACGCCGCGTCGGCCGTTCCGCTAAGGTCAGATTGGGGAAAATTGACCATCGCCATCTTGAATTTTAAACAGAAGCTTGCGTACCCAGTACCCACACAATCGGTAGTACTTAGATTAATTTTATTAGATTAAATTAAAAAATAAGATTGACTAATTTATTATGTACCTAAAATATTTTTTTAGTCACTAATAAAAAAAAAGTATTTTTTTTATTAGTTGTAGGTAATTTAATGAATTTCGATGTGCTCGGTTTCATTTAACGATGCTATTCTGCGGAAATTGTGACATTCGTTTTGAAGTTAGCATTTATGTATCTATACTAATATATAAAATCCTTAAGTGACTCACTAATCATGATCCTGCTCAAACCACTCAACGTAAGAAGCTCAATTTTGGCATACAGGTTGATTCTAGGGTGTAGAGGTTCGATAAGAAGGGATTCTTCGAAATTCCAGTTCGTGAAAGGGGGTGAAACCACCCCTCAAATATTTCAATATATTTTGTTTTTTTACATATTTTAAGATTTTTTAAAAATGTATAAAGGGTGTTTCGAAAAATCTGGTCATAGATTAATCACGATCCCGCTTATAGCGCTTGGCGTTAAAAGCTGATTTTTGGAAAATGGATTGACTTTAGGGTGTAGAGGTTCGATGAGAAGGGATTTTTCGAAACTCGAATTCTAAGGGGTTTAAACCACCCCTCAAATATTAGAATATTTTTTATTTAATTGTATGTTAATGGAAATTCTTGCTTTGCTTTATCATCACCATTACAATTGATTAAGAGTGGCTGCAACGACGTCCCGTAATCCTGCTGTTAAAACAAAACAATTGGTTTTATATATAAAAACCAACTATTATGTTTTAACAGCAGGATGACAGTCGTTGCAGCCACCCTAATTCGACGCGAACGAAGTCGCGGGTACACGCTAGTAGATGTATAAAATGAAATTATATCAAGTCTGGAAATTACAAAATTTTCGTTTAACGTTTCATAATCAAAACTTCATAATTCGGAAATGGTTATATTTAGGTACATTATTACGATTATTGCTTAAAACTGAAGGAAGAATTGAAATATGCAAGAATATACAGGGGGTTGCATTTAAAGAAAATAAATGTTGATGTGCCACAACTTTTTGACCGACCCTGTATGCTTAAATTTACCTACTAGCTACTAGACATTTAAAAACCCTATAACTTTTTTATTTAACTTTTTGCGGTACCTTGTACATTTTTCCTAATAATCTGCAACCCTGTACGTATCATATTTTGAATTATTGATTTTTCATAATTAAATCAGTAATTAGGAAATTAACTAGTTCAAAAATGTAACTACATGAAATAAATTTTACGCTAAATTATGTTATGGTACAGGAATTTAAGTTGTTACTTAATTCCAAAACAACAAAGATCTAGTCTGTTGATAAAACAAATTTTTAGAGTTATTAAAATATATGTAAATGTTTTTTATGTCATAAAACTAGATTCCTTTGATAACATATTTTTCGTGAAATTAAAAGTAAGGTTATTACTACAGGGACATTTTGATTTAACCTAAATATTTTTATATCTCTACATTTTATTCATAAATTTTTTATTAGCATTTTTTTTATATAATTTCAATTGTTTAAAAGCTCTTTTGTAGATATTAAAGAATTACAGTTGGGGGTTGGAACGTTTCGTGTTACACAGCAAAATAAAACACTAAATCACCACAATACACTGAAACACTTTTACTTTTACACTGCAGTCTTGATCAACTGCTGATGATGCTAACATGGTTAGCGAAACGCGCGTCCAGTGTAAAAGTAAAAGTGTTTTGGTGCATTGTGGTGATTTAGTGTATTATTAATTGTACTGACTTCTTTCGAAAATCGACAACTATGAAACTATGAACCCTTCCCGGGCACAAACGATGTGAGACAGGAAATTGTAGAGAGAAACAAGAAACAAGCCCTATAACATAGGATACAACGTTTTAATGAACAGTCCTTTCCATAAAATCAATAAAATGAAAAATATACGAAATGATATACATGTACTGATTTCTTTCGAAAATTGACAACTATGAAACTATGAACCCTTCCTGGACGCAAACGATACATTGTGAGACAGGAAATTGTAGAGAGAAACAAGCCCTATAACATAGGATACAACATTTTAATGAACAGTGCTTTCAACAATAAAATCAATAAAATAAATGGGCTATGCTAGATATTGTTGGCTATGCAGGCCCAAGTTATCCCTGCTAATTTCCTAATGTCATTATCAGCCTCTAGATTTCTTGATTCCTCGGTACTATGCTGTAATCTGGCTGTAATTTTTGTGGTCCATCTATGTCCGTCCTTCTTCCCAGGTGTACTGCCCATTGCCACGTTTATATATTATTATATTATTTATTATCAATAACTAATTACGTTAGTTATTGATACGTTTTTTTTTTGTGTTCTGCAATGTATGTATGTATGTTCTATTTGTGATGTTATTGACGTAAATTTTTTTAAATTGTATTGTATGATATTTTTTTATTATTTATATATTTTTTGTGCTTTTGTTTGTTTTTTAAATGCTTTGTCGATGAAGCTATTTTGGCTTTTTTTACAAAATAAAGATTTATTTATTTAGATAAAGTGGCAGGCATTAGATACAGTTTGAATATGATTGAGTTTCTTCCATAAGTACACCATCCTAACTTAATTTTTCTGTTGATTTCTGGTACTAGAGATCCCGAGCGAATATGTATTTTAAAATAAAATTTGGTGAAGAGTTAGTGCAAAATTTGACAAAATGTTTATTTAAAGATCTATATTTTGAACAAAATCTAGAGTTTACAATTGCAAAACCATGTTACTTCTATATATAGACCTCTAATTGTAAGAGTCTCTGTCTATAAACAAATAGGATATATTTATTTACAAAGGGTTTGCTAAAATGTTAATCACTACCTTTTCAGAATATTGTGTTACATTCATTTTAATGGGGTCTCATTTCCCAAAACATTTTCATCTAAAGTTAGAATCCAAATTAATGAATACTATACGAAGTAAACCCTGTTATTAAAATTTATATTTGTAAATAGGTTACCCTCCCTCAATCATTATTATTTTAGTGGTATTTTGTTGTTTACCTGTCAGTAACATGATTGACAGCAGAAATTCTGAATTACCTACGTTTCTTGTAATTATGATTATATTTCATAGGAGTATCCGTTATATGCGATGCTTGCTGTAAAGTAAACAACAAATAAAAATGTTTTTTTAACATAATTGAAATATGTGTACAGCATAATCGAAAAAAAAACGCCATCAAACAAGGCTGGGGAACGACAGTCGATAATAAGTTTGGCGATGCCAATCTCTAAAAATTAACATAAAACTTAGTTATAGCAAGATTAAAAAAGTATAGAACGTTTCGCGATACATAAATACCGGGTATGTCTCAAAAGTGTGTCTCCTATAACTTTTTTATTTTTAAAGATAAAAAATTGAAATTTAGTATGTGAGTATATGACATAAATTAGGATTGATTAACGTATTCAATTGTTTTCTGTCACTTCCTGTTTTACCGGAAATGACTACAATTTTTGATTTTTAAATAGCACCCTCGGTATTTTATTCCTTTATTCAACAATTTATTTAACTTTTGACATTTTCAAATATGGTTTATTTGGAAAAATTGAGATATGATTAAAAATACGATTTGGGCATCTTATAAGCGGCCAGGACAAGACACTAAAAACATTAGACGATCAAATCTTTTTTGCCAAGGCTCCTTGATTAAAAATTAATGTTTTTAACACAGCCATGGCACTCAAGATTGAAATTTAAAATACAATTTTATTTTAAGAAAAAAAGTGAAAAGTTGGCATATGATATGTCATTCTATTCAGAGTGTCATTTTCTATCGAATAAATTAAAAAAATACCGAGGGTGCCATTTAAAAATCAAAAGTTGTAATCATTTCCGGTGAAACAAGAAGTGAGAGAAAACAATTGAATAAGTACGTCAATCAATCCTAACTTATGTCATATACTAACATACCAAATCTCGTTTTTTTACCTAAAAAAAATAAAAAAAGTTAAAGGGGTGAGCCACTTTTGAGACGCACCCAGTATACTTACAACCTTCCTAAGGCCAACTGGCAGTAAGCACCAAAAAAGAGTACGGGCGATATAATGATGTCTAGGGCTTGACCACGCCAAAATTGCTATTGATTGTCATTTCCCAGCCGTCTTTGACGCCGTTTTTTTTCGATCATATGGTATCTTAAAAAATATATTTATCTTTTTTATCATTCGATGTCCTCTAATGAACAATTGAATCACTTTTTTATAAAGATAAATGGTGTTCAATTAACTCATTTTGATTCCAAGTCCACGAAATATCCGTACACTTTGTATGCACTTTGTAATACTCTGCATATTATAACTTTGGGCCGCATCAAAATTCGTTCCTTATTACGAATTTACATTTTTTTCTTTATTTATTCGACGACATTGACCCAAAACATTCTCTATACGCTTGATTATTTCTAAATTCGTCTATTTTTGAATTATTATTCCGAACGCACCCTGGTTCGTTTTGACACAAGTCAAATTCACACACAATTATACATAACTGCCAATAGACGCATTGAATATCAATTATTCATCAATTTAATTCTTCCATTAGGTAACTGAATGCCTTCATTATGACACTACCAAAATAAATAAAAATGTACTTTTTCAACCTTGCTGATAAGTCATTGACATTCTCATTTGTGTCATAACTTTGTTATCAATTAAATTAGTATGGTTCCCGAATTTCTTCGATAGTTTTTCGACCATGTTTGTTAAATAGTTATCCTTTAGCAGTCTCCAAAAGGATCTGTTAAGGATAAATAAAAATATATTTAAGCTATTCTCTGTTACAGTAGGTTATCAAGTAGTACAGTGTCTTTAGAGAAGTATACAACGTATAACAAAACAAAACCAAATC